CCAGGGAGAACGATCACTTATCTCCTGCACACCGCAGGGTCCTACCGTTGCAAAGATGACTGCGTGAGAGGAATTGTGGATCTCCCTTCTCTACACTCACAAGGTTCCTGTTCTTCTTATAGTAGCTTTTCTGTGAAGAACAGAAATGGGCTGGTAGTTTCTAAATCTGAACATTGATCTCTAAAATCCAAAAATATAACTTCACATACTAGGCAGATCTAATTGCCTTCATTCAAAAATAATTTAAAATTTTTAATTTCATTTTATGTCTATGGGGGTTTTGCCTGTATGTATATCTCTATTAGTACGTATGTACCTGCTATCCTTAGAGGCTAGAAGAGGGTGTTGGGTCCCTCTGGAACTGGAGCCACAGATCATTGTGAGATGTTCTGGGAATTAAGTTCTAGTCCTCAGGAAGAGCACTGAGTATTCCTAACTGCTGAGCCATATCTCCAGGCCTGTATTAAATAACTTTTGTTTGTTTGTTTGTTTGGTTTTTCAATCAGGATTTCTTTGTATAGCTCTAACTGTCCTGGAACTCACCCTGTAGACCAGGCTGTTCTGATACTCACATAGATCCTCCTTCTTCTGTTCCTCAACCCCCAAGCTATGATTAAAGGTGTGTGCCACCACTCCGCATCTAATTATCTCCCTTAGCTTCACGTTTTCCTGCCTCAGTGGCATCGGTTTGATTTAATAGACTGAAGTCACCAGATTGACCATGCCCCTGTAAGAATGTTTCTGTCCCTCATGCAATTTGATATCACAAAAGAAAGATGCACAAAGCAGACATAATACCTCACCAAAATCATAATAAAGACTCATGGTTAAAATTATAGTCAAAGCCAAAAATTAAGATTGCTATTTGATATCCAAGCTGAAATACTTACAGAGAAATGGGAGCCCATTTCTGTTGTTTAAATGGGTACCCCCCAATAGGTCATGCATGCTGTGACCCCCCCAAGAGATATAAAGGATCCCCTCAGGTCACTGAAGATGTGCATCCACAGGTACTGTGAGACCCCATGCGCTTATTTCTCAGCTTCTTGGCCCCTAGCACACTCTTTGTCATCACTGCTACTCCGTGTTCTTCACCAGAGCACCGAACCCGATGAGGCCCCCTCACCCCAGACTGGAACTCCCGAAGTCATGGGTCCAGTGAACGGTTTTTGGTAGTTGGGCTACATCAAGCGTCTTTGCTACAGCAGTGTGAGGCTGAAACATCATTACTACAGAGTGACGGTGTGCATACGTGATACATGTTTATGGAATACATGCATCACTGTAGAAAATGGAAGGACGGCCCTGGGATTGGCCATCTTAGTCAAGAAGGAGTGCCCTTTAAAACCAGGGTGTGTGGAGGTTTCATCTTTTCATTCATATTTTGTGATTCAGAGGAAAAAAATCATGAGTCAAGAAAATTAAGGGGTCAGAGCACTGTGTTTTCAAGTTCATATTTTAAAATTGCTTTATTATAATAAATTGCACACACACACACACACATACACACACACACACACACAGAGAGAGAGAGAGAGAGAGAGAGAGAGAGACAGAGACAGAGAGAGAGAGAGAGAGAGAGAGAGAGAGAGAGAGAGAGCGCACAGCTTGACTATGGTAGCTATGCAAATACCTGAACCCAAACACAAGTTCTGTGGAATAGAATAGCGCCACCTTCTGGAAACGCCTGGATTCCCCACAATGCCAGGCTGGAGGACGGCTGTATGGACTCCACCGAAGGGTAACTGCAGTTAGCAGCTGAGCACGTGGGTAATGAACAGCTCCATCTAAGGAAAGCAGCCATGCTTTGGGGCAACCTGATGGGGTTTGAATTTGAGTTCTGCAGCTCTGGGTTGTTTTCCGTCCTCTGATGTCTCTGTTTTGAGACCCTGGGATTTCAGAGAAGCTGTGTGGACCTGGCAGTCTCTCTTGAGTTCTGAACAGATTGAACTTGATGGCACTTGAATCATCAACTTTGTTTCTGAGAAGGCAAATGGAAAGGAGGCTGAAACCTGTGCCCAAAGGTCTGATTGATGTCCTGGCCCAAATATAGGGGCCTCAGCTCCCTCGGCATCCACCTGCAGAGCTTCGGGGTGGAATGGCCCCCTTGGCACCACCGCCTGCAGTCCTTTAGGTTAGGATGGTTCCAGTCATGGAAGCTAATCAATATGGCCAAATTCTCTTATCTCCCCCAGTAGGAATTTTGAATATTTCATAAATTGATTGAGCAATGTGGGGCATTCAGGGTCCAAAGGTCCTTTCCATGTCCCCAGGGCTATTCTCTACCTTCCCCCAGCTGGGATTCTTGGGGAGCAGGCAGGAAAGTTCTGTCAGTGCTTGATATAGAGGAGGTTTCCAGCTACTGTGTGTAGGGAACCCACTTTGTGGAGAGAATCACTTCCCATCATTGTGAACAGCACGAACCTTGCTGAGTTATATTTTTAGTAATTTAATCCGCTACATTGGATCAAACTCTGGCCGAGTTCCTCTTGCAAATGTCAAGGAAGAGAGATCAGTGAGGGAGTGGGAGCAGGAGGGGGAGAGAGGGAAAAAGAGAGAGGGAAAGGGAGAGGGAGGGAGGAAGAGAGAAAGAGAGAGAGAGAGAGAGAGAGAGAGAGAGAGAGAGAGAGAGAGATATCAAAAGGGGGCTGTCACATCCAGGAAGAGGTTCAGAAAGCTTAGACTTCCTGTACTATTTGGAAAAGTTGATGAGGTTCCTGAAGCTGTCTGCCTCCACCCCTCTTTGGTATTTTTATTGCTATCTGTATGTTCTCTTATAATGAGCCAGAAAGCTCCTAAAATGGAAAGAGCTTGTGTGCACATTTTCTATGGCAACAAGGAGAGAACGAAGTGGAGAAACTGTTCTGCCAAGTAGATGGGGAATCCAGGAGGGGAGGGAGGGTGTAACATCCCGCAGTCTTCAACACAAACAGTGAGGGGAGGAAAAGACACAGGGGGACACGACACCACGGGACACGACACCACACCGGAGACAGTCCCGAGGATTCAAGCAAGGACAGAGACATCAATCTACATTTGTGGTTTCTAGACAGTACCTTATTGTGTCCTCTAGTCTGCTCTAAGCTCCCAGGCATATCTCAGCATCCCAAGTGATAGATTACAGATGTGAGCTGCCACTCCCAGCTACTTTACTGTCCTAACAAGAGACACCTATTCCTATGAAATAGGTAGAAAATTAATACTCTTCATAGTTAAGAATGAAAAAAAAGCACTTTTGGTGGTTAAAAGCACTTGCTGCTTTTGCAAAGGACCAGAGTTTGGTTCTCAGCATCCACATCAGCTCACAGCTGCTGTTAACTCCAGCTCCAGGGAGTCTGATGTCCTCTTCTGGCCTCAGCAGGCACCTGCACACATTTGCACATACATGTACATATGTATACATACATGCAACTAAAAGTATAAAGTTTAGAATCATTTCCTTGTTTTAAAATACCCCCTCCCAAATCAGCTTATCTCAACATTACAGATATACTAACATAGGGAAGATTTTTTTTTGTATCAAATGAGCTGATTAATGTGCAAATAAACTCATAAGTCTCAGGTTTGGGAAGCGAATAGCATGAATAGTTCTCTGACAATGCTTTCTGTCTTGGGGTTTTTCTTCTTAGATCATTTAGCTGCCAGTATTTCATTTTAAGAGTGGTAATTAAGAAAGGGGAAGAAGCTTTTTCCATGGTTTTGAATCACTAAAACTTCTGGGTTAAACGTTTTGCCCAAATATAGGCCTTTTGGTGATGAAGCTAACTCACTCTTTGCGACTGTAACATCCTGTTTATGACGTGGACATAAAATGTCATCCCAGGCTTGCTCTCATTCAACACAGCCGTTTCCCAGGTGCTCCCCAATCAGAGTGTCTCTTGGGGCTTCCCACCACCCGTTCCGCTTCAGCCACTAAGTTCCTTTGGATAATGTATTCAGCCATGAACACAGGCCATCTCACCTATAAACATAACCCAGTCCCCACTGAGTTAGGGTCCAGCCTTTATCATCTTTTGCGCCCTATTCTTATAGAGAAATAGACTCCTCACTGCTCCTACGCTGTCTGATCCCCTGAAAGAATCCTTTGAAGAGAGTGTGCCTTCTCACAATGTCTTGCTACTCACCCCTTGAAAGTTCCCTGTCTTCTCTCTTCCCCCTTCTGTGTTCTTCCACAGAACTATGTAACCTTTGTCCTACAGCGCCATATGCTCTATTGTGAGTGACTGTCTATGTGAGGCTTTCTTTCCTGTTTAGATGTGTGTGTGTGTGTGTGTGTGTGTGTGTGCGCGCGTGCGCGTGCACTTCCACCTTTTCTTGAGACATGTCTCTAGTTCACTACGGCTTATTCCATGCTAGCCCAGGAACTTCTAAGAATTTTCTTGTCTCTATGACCCATCTCTGGGTAGGAGTCCTGGTTACAGAGGTGAGTGGTCACATCTAGGTTTTATACTGGTTCTGGACATCTGAACTCAGTGCAAGCACTTTGTACACTAAGGTGGCTCTCCATTCTCAATGTGAGAATTTCTCAGGTTAAAGTTGGGTTTCTTAAGACATGCCCTTGTCTTCTTGTTCTGGTAAATAAATAAGCATTTCAGTGTAACTTCTGTTTGTTGTGCTGAATGGAAGGGTGTTTGGGAATGTGCACAGCAGAATCCCACAGTACACAAATTTCCTTTAACACTTCAAGAACACTTCTCTTCTTCCTCTTATTCTTTCTGGAGATATACATTGATGATGTCATGGGACTTCCTCAGGGACAGCTGCCATGACCCAGAAAGGGAAGGAAACATCTTTCAGAAGAACTTTTTGAACTTGTCCATGAAAACCTGAGAGTTGTATAAGCAAGCATGAGAATCTCGGTGTAAAAGAAGAGGCTGGGTCAGTGGAGAAGGCAATGGGTCTGCCCTTGAACTACAATTCGGCCAACGAGTGCAGTGGAGATCACAGTGGTTGGCTCCTGGGATTGCGATTGTGTATCTGACTTGGCCTTTCTCTGGCAGGTGGCTCGGACATCGACTATCTGGACTTGTACAAGCCTGTGGTGTGGTTCTGGATCCTCGTTGGGCTTGCTTACTTTGCCGCCGTCCTGAGCATGATCGGAGACTGGCTGCGGGTGATATCGAAGAAGACTAAGGAAGAGGTGAGGCTGAGGGTGCACAGAGTCAGCAGCCAGTAAAGGGTTGGTTTTATGTTCTCTTAAAAATATTTAGAAGTTTAAATGCTTAATATTAGCATAAAATTTACTGCATGAAGTAATAAAAATATAGGCATTATAGTTTAGTCATTTTCAGCATTTGTTGAATACTTATTGGGTCAGTGACTATGTAGGAATTCTGATTTATTTGTAATGAAAAAAGATATAATTTAAAAAATTTTGCTAGTTATATACTTTTCTTTTGTGTTCTTTCTTTCTTTTGTGCAATGGCACAAAGTGAAGTCTGGTCCATAAAAGGAAAAGAGTGCACTCAGGGCCAGATCTACTGCCCTGGGAGAGGACCTGTGGAGGATCGTGAAACACTGCGTCCCGTCCATAGCAATGGGGGAAAAAATCTATCAGTGTGCCACAGAGTGAATAACAAATGCTTTCTGTAATAGGAATTTAGTTTACCTTTGCCGGTTGTTTTCTTTTTTCTTCTATCTATATGTTCACACTTGGACATACACATATATTTTGTGGCTCTTTACATCAGAACTTGCAGGTATTCAAAATGTTACATATTTTATACAACAAAACAAGTAATAGTGATCTTGAGAATTTTGGTGCATGAAGGTTTTGGAATTTTAAAATGTAAGCATTGATATTGATTCCTTGGATATTCAGTTTTGATTGTATTTCTATCTCCAGAAATACCATTGGCTGTTGGAGGGTGACTGAGTTGTGGATTTATTTGTTTGTTTGTTTATGACTATTGTATGTTTTTCTGGTGGGACTTGCCAGCTTTGCTAGGGGAGTCACAGGTCTCTCCAGTCTATGCCCGTGTCACTCAGATGCCTTCCTCCAGTTAGCCTGTCCATCCATTTCATTATCTGCTCTTCACAGGCCAGGATGCACCAGTGTTAAATCTTTGGTTTTTAAAAGCAAATGTCCATCCAAAAGAACGGGAATAAAATAAGAAATAGTGAATTTGATTTCTCTTTACAAATTCTGTCTTACTTTTTTGGAAACATGTAAAGTCAGGCAGTTTTTTTTATCAATACCTTGCATGTTCATGGTAGCAAGCAAGAGTATTATTTACCAACACTGTGTCCCGTGGGTAGCATGTCACCTCGTTGGGATTTTCTGGATTAAGTCTAAGTGTGTCTGTCTGTGTCTCAGTTACACCATATGCCAAAAAACTCTTTATCCTGAGAAAATGAGCAAGACAGAATGCTCCGTATCTTAAAATGGGCCAAAGTCCTCTTTTTGGATGGACCAGAAAGGATCTAAGCTGTGGGCTTGGGGTATGTGGAACTGGGAATGGGGAGAAGGGAGGTGTCTATTCTAACATTCTATATACTGCTGTGAATCTTGAAATTCTCAGGGATAAAAAGAAGTTGTAGCAAGGAAATATTTTAGGTAATAGTAATAAAGAAAGCAGCTCAGGTGTTCATCTAAATAACTTTCAAGTGCATTGAAATATTGACATTCATGTCTGCATGCACACACTATCATCTCTTAAAGCTTGAACTTTGACAGTTAGGAAAATATTATTGTGTGACACATTATATGCAGTAAATTGAATACATATATACATTAATGCTACTGTGATTGCCGAAAGAAGATCTAGAGGCCACCGTGCTGTAATGTAGCGAGAGATTTTGTATCTTTATACAGTTGGTGAAGTGTTGTAATAGGAGCGGAGGGGCTGTGTTCGCAGCACCCCGGCCGCCTGGCTAGCTTATGCCCCGAAATAACAACACACAAACTGTATTCTTTTAAACACTGCTTGGCCCATTTCTATCTAGTCTCTTCTAGGCTAATTCTCGCACCTGGACTAGCCCATATCTAATATCGTTTGTAGCACCCCAAGGTGCTCTTACCGGGAAGATTCTAGCCTACGTCCATCCTGGGTCGGAGCTTCATTGCATGTGTCCGCCCAGGAGCAGGGAGCATGGCGTCTCTGTCTGAGGCGTCTTACCTCACTTCCTCTTCCTCCCAGCATTCTGTTCTGTTTACTCCACCCACCTATGTTCTAACCAATAAAATGGGCAAAGGCAGTTTATTAGCCAATGACCTCCCTCCATCAGTGAAGTTGCTGTAGGGTATGTGTTTAAGCTTGAGAACTTTGTTTTGGTATTTTTGCAGGGGACAAACTGACAGTGCTGCAGATCACTGCTCCAGAGTAGCATCCTTAGTAGCAAACACAGCAACTGCAGCAGTGTTTGGGGCTGCTAGAACAAGTGCAGTAAGAGCTCTGTTTCTCCCTGCTCTGCAAGCCATTAACTCTTGAGGGTGCTGGCAGGCATGGGCCATGGTGAGGCCTCACTCCTGGACTTGCCTGGGTCCTAGCTGGCATGAGCCATGGTGAGGCTTTGTTCCCTGGCTTGCAAATTGCCTCTTTTTTGCCATTTCTCTGGGCCGAGAGAAGGCAGGTCAGCATCTCTTCTTTTCTGTGTAAGAACACGGCTGTTACTAGATTTGGGCACCAGTCTTTTTTTTTCCCCATCTGATTAGCTGCCTTTGAAAAACCTGTCTCCAGATCCAGTTACTGTGAAGGTTTCCACTTCTGCATAGGGATTGATGAAGGCTGGAATACAGGCTACGATGCTGTCTTTCCAGATCAATACACATTTTTACAGAATGGGTTTGTTACATGTGGACCGTGAGGTCATGTGCCCATTCATGGAGGACTTCCCTGGCTTTCAGCTAAAAGTACGAGTGTGTTTTCATGCTAGCTCACCGTGGAGAAGGCTAAAGGAAGAGGCTATTTTTCTCCTTACCACAGACCTTTTGACTGCTGCCCAGTGTTCTGAGTACCACGTGCCTTCTGGAAACAGCATCCATGAGGGAGTCTAAGGCAAGAGACAGTGTGAGCCCCACGCTGCAGCAGCTCCAGTTGAACCCACGGAAAATGAATTTAATTTGAGCAAATGTGTATTTTCTGATTTATGATCAATTTAGAGAAATGTAGAATAGGGTCACAAATTTAGCCAAGAGTATTGGTGGGGGAGAAGGCACAGTGTAACTAATTTGGGCATTAGGAACCAAATATTTGATAAATGGCATAGTGCTTAGTTATCTACCACAGCGAGAAGATGATAGATAATTTAAACTTTGAAACAGCTCAGCAAAGGGTAGGATCACAGAAAAACCAAAGTGTGGACTCAGGATCCCGAGTGATAATCCCATGACTCAGAATAAACTGATTTTCTTCAACAAACCCATGCATTGCATTATTATTTTGAAATATGGCTGAGCCATAGTGATAAAATACAAACAGATATAGATAATTATATGAAGGGTTTATATCGTTTTGAATGTTAAGCCATATGTTGTTTCCATTGTGGAATCATTTTAATAGAATATACATAGAAGATTTGGGGAGTAAAGGAAAACATCATTTTCCCTCAGCACGTTGAAGTGAACACCATTGGTCTAGTGAATCCATTCGAAGGGCCTGAGGAGTAAGTCACTGGATGGAAGACTATGGCATTGATCCAGAAGCACCACACATAACTCTAGGTGGTCTGCGTTTCTCAAGGAAAGCAGGAAGAGCTTAACCATTTTTTCCTGGAGACGTATGCATGTCAGAAAAGTGTGCTCCTTTGTTATTTTTAAAGTTCCCATAGAAAGTAGACCGAGTTTAACAGTAAATATGAATAGAACTAATTGTTTTCCTTATTAGCCCATATATCCTGTTCTGTGAGGAGATCATGTTTCCATTTAGGAAACAAGGGCTATTTCACAACAGGGTGTATACTGACACCCAGTTCAGGTTTAAAAAAATAAGCTGTGCTCACATCAGCCAGAAAACAAAATCTGTCCCTGCTTAGGAACAAAGCAGGGAAGAATGAACCCTAACCCAGACATTGCTCAGTCAATTACTTTTTACCTCGGAGTGTGGAAGCCATGACGTCTGTGTGCACTCTGGGTTCTGGTCCTTGTGAGGTAGGCAGCAGCAGTATCCCAACATAGATTGGCAGTCCTGTCACGTCTCACAGAAGAGGGAGAGAGGGACACTGTGGATGGATGGCTAAGCAACTTTATTTATTTATTATTTGCAAATGCTATTTCTTTAGTCTCTGAAAATATTGATGCTGAGTTGAGAGCCCAACTTTGGTGAGTTGGTCTTCTGTTATTTAAGAAAATAACCAGTGTCTGGGGCCTCTAGTGTTCAGGTCCCCCAAAAGAATGTAAACTGGCTCTAGAATCATGAAGTGACCCAAGAATACCAGGGGAGAAATGTTACTTCCTCTGGACACATAGTGGCATTGTTAATCTCTGCACTCTGCTCCGGGTCGTCAAGCAAAACCCGTTCAATGAAAGAACTTAGTGGATCAACGTCACGTCCAGAAAATGGACAGCTAAAGAGGAGGTCTGGGCTGAGTCCTGGAAATTTTGCAGAACAGGAGCAGATCAGCGTCTCTTATCTGAGAATTGCTTTCTAACACCCAAGGCTTTATTGTCTCATTTACAACAGCTTCGACTTCCTCCTAAAGGCCTCGGGAGTCGCTGAAGGATTTTAGGGAAGTGGAATAAATGCTTTGATGAGAATGAGAAAGATGAGTTTGGAGATGCAGATGAGTGTACAGCTGGGAGGGATTGGTCCAGGGAGTCTGCGGTAACAATGCGGTAGAGATCAAGTATTTATTCCAAAAATCTTGGTGGTTTGTGTGCTGAGAATACAAAACAAAACAAACAAAAACAAAATAAAGCAAACGATGGTGTCTGTGATTCTAACTTCAGTAGGGTATCTACCACAGGAAATAACTCAGGAAATTAAGAAATATTGAACAGTTAGGAGGGAGAGGATAATTTCATGTTGACATTTATTAATTTGTGGGTAATTTTACATTTAAGTGATGTGGAGGCCCAGAGATATGAGTCCTGTTTCACTTTGACTAAAGGTCAGAGAGTCTGAGCTTATTTTTACCCTTTCAAAGTTGTTGACAACAGGTGTTGTTCTTTTCTAAAAAATGCTGCAAGATCCCCACGGCAGT